TCTGCCTTTACTGAGGTCTAATCAACCAGCTGAAAAGACTTGTGTAATTACACTGGATAGGGCCCCTAATAAGGTATAATGTTATCAATGTGAAGTGGGGAAGTGATTCAAAACATGAGGTAGCCTACACTGCTCAGGGATACCTCAGTAGTTGGTATGTGGCAATATTAGCTTTGCTAATCAGAAAAATTTAAAAATATTTTATTAAATAAATTGTGTGATCCTGAACAGGCGTGAGTTATGAATAAGGACTTCAAATAGACAAAGAGAGGGCAAAAATGATTAGAATAGCATGAATACTGGGCCAGAGTGAATAATAAATACTTGAAATAGCTAGCTAAACATATAGCTAAAAACAGCTGAAACTGTTAGCTAACGGGCTGGATTAACATATTGTGAAACACTAAACTGACGTTAAATACCATAGCAGAAAAAAGTAGTGGAAGAATTGTTTCATAGTTAGCTAAAAAATGATGATGATAATAACAAGTTAGCTACAAGAATATCCAAAACATTTAACCATCATTGACTATGCTTAGCATTACCTTTAGCTACGCTTAGCTAAAGGTAATGCTAAGCATAACCTCAAAGTCGTTGAGAAGTGGTTTAAATAAAAATGTATTCATGATGAAGTAAAACTCTTAAAAATGAATTGATGAAAATGATTATAAATTTGCTGGTAATGGACAGATAGTAAAATACAAAGACTGTAGCTCAGAGCAAACGGACCAAAAAAACCCACGGACTGATAGTTTGACTTGGTTGAAACAAGTGTTAAGTTAGACTGGGTTCAGATGAACACATTTAACAACAAACATGAGGTATTTGAATTCATCTCAATAGACTTCAAGCTTATATCAGATAAAACATAATAACTTAATTTCCTCTGTTCACTCGGTTTGGGACTAATACATCTCCCACAAGTTAAATCTAATTTACCCCTGTTCTTTGTCTTTGTATTCAATTTTTAGATTAGCTCCTCTAAATTACCTTGCATTTACCTGCCATAATCTCCACACAGAGGCTACACATGACAAAGCCTGATCACACTGCCAATTCTAATCTATTAATTACAGGATAACCTCAGTTAAATCTCTGTTTTCCATCTCTTTTCACAGATGAATAGCATGCCTTAGGCTTCCAAAGATTATGTTGGTGCATGTTAATGAATTACCATTAACCTCACTGCAGGATGCCTACTTGTGAGGACGATTTGTGTTTCCTCTTAGCAGCCAGATCAATCATATTTCTTGAGACTGCTGCTCTGACAGTTGATGCCAAAGCTAGAGTGATCTTCGGGTCCCTTTAAACAAAAACCTAACCACTACTACTAATAATCATGGTGGAAACAGCTGTACTAAAGCCTATTCTCTAAACTTAACAAGGTAACATCTTTCTCAGGACTACAGGAAGAACCTGCTTTCTCCTATTCCTTTATCTGCCAGCGCAGATCAAACTAGGTGATGTGTATACACTCGTGGAAATCATCATGGAAACCTAATCAGACACGTTTGCATAGAACTGGTCGATAACATGGAAAGTTTGTGCTTGTGTTGAAGGGGGGCCTTGTCGGTGGGGTTGTGTTTAATCTCTGTTGCTAACATGGCAGCATTATCACCTTTTTCTCCTGACCTCTATTAGATATCAGGCAGTCCGAAGGCTTTTTGTAATCACACTTGAATCAGTTATTTGGTAGCGAAAACCTTTGCACACCATATTTTTTCATAGCGCACATAAATGTCAATATCCAGCCTTCTGCTGTCTAAGTAAGTAGATGGGTACAAGATGGCTTTACAGGTGTTGGTAAAAAGCAACAGATTAATAAAATGCAGTTGTAAATAACCACAAGCTGATACTTTGTTATATCTTGCTTTATTATAAATCAAACACTTAACACATTCCCAACTATAAGTCAGTAAAATCCATTTGAATGTATAACAAGTAGCTCCCCGGTGGTGTAATACTCAAATCTAACAGGAGATGGCATATGAAAGCAGCTAAGTTTCAGGCATCTTAAGCAAGAGAGCAAGGCTTTGTATAAAAATAGCACTGATATAGTGGATACAATTGTGTGTGTGTAAACTTGGGTGTGAAGCACTGAAGCAAAGTCGTCTAGGTCACAATATTTAAAGCTTTTGCAGGATCATTGCGGATGAGGATTTTCCGCCTCTGAAATCCTCAACACTGGGGAGCTGAAGTTGGAGGAGCAGGGCACTAAGTTATGGGTGTTGAGATAACTAATTTTACTGCTGCTGTCTTCTGTGCTTTTATCCATGCATCCCAGTAATGAGTCTGCCCCCTCTGACTGGCTGCTAGGCTGTGGCGGGGGCACCAGGCCGTGCAGGAGGCTGTTCCCCAGGTGGGAGTTGCACCGAGCTAAGTTCTCAGTTAAATGCTGCATGTACACCTCCTCCAGCTGTTTCTCCAGCAGCCCGTTCAGCACCGAGTTAGACATGGGCTCTAGCCCCGATCCAGGCAGATCCAGGCTGATGTTCACACTGTCCCCCATTGCTAGATAACCCTGGTCTGGTATGGATGGTACTGAATTCTGTGGCTCTTGCTGGGCTGTGCTTGGACAAACTTGAGAGATGGGAGACTGGATGCAGAAATCATGCTGGCTGACAGCAGTTCTCAGTAGATTGTGTGTGATGCGGCCTGAGTCAGCCACCTGCAGGTCTGGATACTGTTCCAGCAAGCTACAGTCTTCTATGTAAAGGGGGTACAGGTCAGTAGGGATTGAGAGGGCTACAGGTCTCTGAGGCACCACTTTGAGAATCTGGGGTTGGCTGGAGTTCAGATCTTCCTCTATGATCCCTGATTACAGAAGAAAAACTAGTTACATGCTTGCTTACAATTTTTTTTCCCAATATGAAACCAGATAAAGGACAAATGATTATTTACAAATGGATTGCTTCTTATTATCTATATTTAATTATTTAATACAGCTGTTAAATTATTTAACCAAACTACAATATGGGTATTATTAGTTTTAGATTCAACAAGTTTTTACCTTTAAAAAAATCATAAATCCACTGTCACCTATACCACACTTTATCCTATTACATTCAAAAAAAGGTTATAATAGTTAAATAAAATGAGAATAAAAACCACACCTTTGAAAAAAAACCCTCTAAATGAAGTGATTTTGTTAAGAAAAATAACTAAAATAAAATAAAAACAAAACGTACAGAGGATATATTCATAGTTTGTTAGTTTGCTAAAATTTGAGTTAAGAGAAAAAGCTTTTTGTTGTGAGGCGTTAGTTCTATCAACTGCACCACCATTTTAAACCAGTGACTGTTGATGTGTGTGTGTTGGTAAGTTTGCATTTAACAGAAAGAGGAAGCTTGTTAGTTAGAGGGAACTAGACTGCAGCAGGATACAAAGTTACTGCATAAACCCCACTGCAGATAAACTGTCTGTCACACTAATGGGACAGTTGTTCCAACATGTTTTGTTGTTTGTAATCGCAAAAAAGGCTTCTTTTTTTACCTGCTTCTGCTGAATGCACCCCTGGGACTGCAGAGCTCGAGTCAGAGCGAGCACAGTTGGATGGATCGGCACAATGACCACTTGTCTGCAATCTCTTTTGCTTGGAATTGGAGGCAAACTTTCTCTCCTCCCTGTACACCAGCAGTCTGAGAAAACCTTCAGCCAACATACCCGCCTAGTAACTGGCCTTCTTTTTCCTCTGCCTCTTTTGCTTCTTCTGTCACTTGCATGCACTAATGGCACTGCGTGACTGTAAGTGCGGTTATAAAGATCTCCAGTCTGGTATCACTTCTGCATATAAGAACTGCCCCCTCCACCTTCCCGCCCCGGCACTTCCTTTATTTAATCTATAACCGAAAATCTGAGTTAAAAAAATGAGAACAGCGCATTTTTACATAACAGGATGAGTTAACATCGTCAGGTTGAGGAGCAGGTGGTATCCGGCTGCGTTACTTAAGCAAAGGAAAAGTTCAGTTCCAGTAACAGTCATTCATTCAAAGTCAGAGAATAATTATAGAGTATTTAAAGTCTGTGGAAAAGTTTATATAACGTGGCGTTTAGTGGCTAATAACCTCAGAATCAGACCCAATTCAAAGAGTAACAATCAAAATAACTCTGCTGTGATAAACGAGGTAGGCTGTTTTATTTTGAAAAACAGCAGTTTGATATAATTTCGTTTTGTTTTCCTTGAAACAGTTATGTAACTGACATCATATGAGATGTTTATACGGGAAATCTTTTCTTTTGGTTCCATTGATCATATGACCATCCACAAACCTTAAGAAACCTCAAAAGGAAGGTTTACACATCTCACCTTAGGACTCCTGTCCTTACCACTAAGTTGGTGAGAGAATACACGGTGCCTTACAGACCTGTAGGTAATAGACCAAAATCCAAGGGAACTTAAAGCAATTTTGAAATGCAGTTTTTGTCTTTATGTGTTATTCAAATGATAATCAGTTCCAGAGTTTTCACATTCTGAATTTCATTAGTATTTTTAGTGGCTTCAAGTCTTCTGGGTAGGTTCTGTTAAAGTGATCACCTATCTGAGATAGAACCTATTTGTGCTATTACAGTCAAATTTAGTCAATGTCTATTCTTACATTTCACAGCTGTTGAGGATGCTGGTTACGCTCAGAGCTTTAGAATAGGTTGCATGCACTTTTCCTGATTGGGAGAGTTTTATTTTGAAGGTCCACTGACAACTCCTGGGACTCTTTGGTCCTGACATGTGGTGTAAAGTGTTTGACCAGCGTGAGTTTGCCAGTCTGATACAGTTTGGAGGGCCACAGTAAAGTGTCTGAATACTTGTTATTATTTAGTTACTTCAGTTTGAGATTTTGAATAGATTTGCAGAATTTTAGAGAAGCGACACATATAAGTCTACTGGATGTAGATGGATTAAAACAGTGCATTTGTTTAAAACTACATTTATGAAACAGTTACGTGTTCTGAATACTTTCTGAGATGACTCACACACGCTAAAGTAAAACACAAAAACAGACACGTCAAGTCAACTTACAATTATTTATTGTACATAAAAAATGAACAGCACGGGGCGAGGAGGCAGAGCTCGTTTCAAAATCGGCTGACTGTTTTAAGAGTCATTCTTTTTGTGTGTGTCATTGCCGTTTTATTCCGAGGAGAGATTGTACCAATTTACGTAAGTCAGGGATTTACCAACACATTGTTAAAAAAAAATGATTCTAATAGGAACAAGAGCCTCTTATCCAACTTCCCCCAAAACAAAACAAAAAAGCACCAAAATTGCATGTATTGTCATTTCTTTTAAGCAAATATCATCTTGTAGAAAAAGGGTTTGCTATTAAAACAGTTTTAAGACGACAGAAAGTAACTATAAACTCAGTGGGTGGGACTGTAAGAGAAAACAGTTACTGGGTCACACAATGTGGCTGAAAACTTTAAGACTTCTACTGATTAAACCTCTAAAAAACAATAATATTCATGTTTACAGTCAAAGGTTGGATGATGTTGTTTGTGGCCAACAGTGAATCTTTCTTTGTATATTTCACTGGGTCTGATGATGTCGTCCCAATCGGGTAGTCACACATTCACGGTAATGCTCTGATTGACATGTCATTGGGCCAATAGGATTATCAGGCTGAGATTAACGGGAGGAAGCTGAGCTGTTTTAGATACCCTTAATAGTCTGCTTTACCACCTCCTTTCAACTACAGCTAGCAAGGCACGGCTGAACGCAGATTTATGAAACAGAAATGTCATGAGAAAAAGTACATTGAAACCTTCATTATATTTATAAGCTGAGCAAGGTGTTGCTTCTATCCCCCCCCCGGGTCTAGGCAAGGCTGGGTCCAGATGTAGGCCTGAGGTGTCAGGATGGGAACGATGGGAAGCTGCTACTGCTGTGCTTCTTTCTTCGCTTGAGCCTCGGCCTCCTGGAAAAAAAACAGAGAGGGAAGGGACAGAGTGTGTTATATTAAAATGGAGGATACTGGTTAATATATCCCTTGCCACAGCTCAGAGGAAAACCCCCTCTGTCTCCATGGTAACTGGCACACCTCCCTGCAGTCCCCTTTGTGGCAGAGAGGAGGCGCCAGCGAGCGAGAGAGCCTGCAAAACCGATAGGAGGCCTGCTGTGGTGGATATCATGAACAGATGTATTATGTAATGTGTGTTTTCTTTATGGAAATTAAAGTGCGAAGACGAGTGTATATTTAGGATTGTTTTACAGGAAATGTGGCTGAGGGTGTAGGAATGCACTTCTCAGGAGGGACAGTCACACAGCATGTGTTACTGTGTCCGTGAGCTTACCTTAGAGCCCGGAGGAGCGGTCAGACCCAGAAATGCGTACACGGCGTTTTCCTCCCTGGCGTCAAAGAAGGCTTCGTAGTTCTGCGAAGCAGGAAGAAACACAAACAGAGAGGTTTAAGGCAGATCAATCAGAAGATCCGGCTCTCCTGAAGCTGAGCGCTGATAATTTGAAACAGCCTCTGAGCATGTGCGGCCTGGGGCAACAATCTGGGCGGCTGTGAGAAACAGTTGAGGTTGTGTTATCTGTCCAAGGACAGACCTCGGCAGTCAGTGTGATAGGAGGGCATTGTCTTTTGAGAATGCAGTGCAGGGTAAACAAGCTAACACGTTCAGCCCGTCTACGGTTTAGCCGTCTCGCACATTCCTGATCCCTCGCTCCTTCTCTGACCCTTTGTCTTCTTCCTCTTTCTCCACCAGAGCACAAAACGGATTTTTCAAAAGAGCTCTACAGCTGCGAGCATCCCTGTCGTCTTTGTCTGTGACATTCAATACAGCCCATGCTGCAAGTGCACCTTCACTTTGAACCACCCATTAGCAGCACAGCATGATGCCACAGTGCACGCATGCTAAAGGCCCCAAGTGTTTACAAAGGGAGTAAACGAACATCTGCTAACACAGCGCATCAGGTTTGTGTAGTGTTTGGTAGAGTATGTCTGATCAGCACAGCTGCCAAACTGATTCCTGAATAGAAAAAAATGAATGGGAAAGTAAACAAAGGAAAGCCGAATTCATGTGTCACATTTTAAGACTTAATGCCTACAATTGTTTTGTTTTTTTTAAAATTGTGTGATTAGTGTATTTATACAGCCATTGCAAGAAAACTTCTTAAAGTCTTAAAGTCAGTCTGGATATAGTTCCTCCTATAGACTGGTTGATGTCATGCATTGGTTTGTGGACTTCTCAAATAAGAGGTGGATGACTAAGAAATCACTATATATACTTTTTCACTAGAAGTGAGGCAAATCGCAGGCCTGTGACCTGGTGACTCAATTACATTTTTGTAGAGGATACAAATTTTGGTGACTGTTAAGTTACGTATGGACTCTGTATTATGACTGAACATAAAAATAAATGCAAACAGAACATAGCCTTACATCCGCAGGGTCATGAGGAATATGAAAAGAATTTGGATCTATAATAAATGTTTGTTTTTTTAACGCATACAGATGCTGATAATCAGTGTCTGAGTGATGATGTTCAACAAAGTTTTGTTCAGATTGGCCTGTTTGTTAAGGAGGATATACGTACATATATATATACCCTGATCAAGCATAACATTCTGACCGCCCGTCTATTATTGGGTTGGTCCCCATTTCGCTCCCAATACAGCTCTGACCCGCGGAGGCATGGACTCCACTAGACCCCTGAAGGTGTGCTGTGGTATCTGGCACCAAATTAGCAACAGATACTTTCACTCCTGTAGTTGAGAGGTGGGATCTCCATGTGTCAGACTTGTTTGTCCAGCGACGTTCCACAGATGCTAGACTTTGGAGGCAACACCTCAAACTCGTTATTGTGCTTCTCAAACCATTCCTGAACTATTTCTGCTTTGTGGCAGAACGCGTTAATGGTCTGCAACAGTGGTAGGTGGTACGGGTCAAAGTAGCATTTAAATTAATGGCAGGACTCAACTCTACAGAACAATATCTAAAGCATTGCACTGCTTCCTCTAGCTTGCCTTCTTCCCATAGGGCATCCTAGTGTCAGGTATTTCCCTGGTAAGCGATGCACACAGACAACTGGCCTTCAATGTGACCAGGCCACCTTCTTCCATTGCTCCATGGTCCAGTTCTGATGCTCACGTCCCCATTGTTGGTGGACAGCAGTCAGCATGGGCAGCCAGATTGGATTGGACTACACAAGCCAGTCTTCACTTCCCACATGCATCAGTGATCCTTGGCCGCTCATGACTCTGTCAGTGGTTCATCACTGGCCTGGAACATCCCACAAGAGCTGCAGTTTAAGAGATGCTCTGTCCCAGTCGTCTAACCATCAACATTTGGTTCTTGTCAAACTCTCTCAAATCCTTTCACTTGTCCATTTTTCCTACTTCTAACATGAACTTTGAGGACAAAATGTTCTCTTGTTCCCTCATACATCCCACCCACTAACAGGTGTCATGATGAAGAGATAATCAGTGTGATTCACTTAACATGTTAGCAGTCTTGAGTTTTGCCTGATACATGCATACACACATTTACTACGTTAAAAATGAAACCATACCTTAGAAGACACCCTGATTTGTCACCAGTTTTACTATAAATCATTTACAAAAATGGCCACAATGTTGCAAGCAGTCAGGTTTAAAACTGAACATAAACTCAGCAGGAGAGCATTTATTAGGCTATAGATCAAATGACAAGTACGGTAAACAAGCTCCCCCTATTGCCCATTAGAAAGTAAATTAAAGTTAGTTTGCATCAGTTTATTCTTTCAGACCCAGGGGTTGTGTCCGTCGTTTATTTACCGTCCGTAGGGGCAGCAGAACAGTGACATATTGAGACCTTACGTGTTTTGTATTAGCTCTGTTTCCACTTTTAAAAAAACAGCAGCTGTCTTGTAAGTTGCTAGATTCCCCACTGTGTTCACCAGCTATTTGCTCACTATGTTTGGCAGCTCTGCGGTGCTGGGAAGGGAGTGTACGGAGTGTATTTTTATTAAAGCCTTTTCACTGAGCACAGCAGCTACTGAAAGAACAGTGAAGCTGCAGTCTATAAACCCAAAACAAAGGGATAAATGATGCCTGTACACTCTGTATACTTGAGGTCAACTTTTAATCAGGTGGTATTGAAGACATGAGCTTTATTATCACAACAGTAGCTGCTTAGATAATCGCATGCAAATAATTTCATGTGTGTGCACGTGCGTGTCTTACCCCGCAATATTTGGTTTCATTAAATATCTGTGGGGGAAGCGGGTTCCCCGTGGCAGGCCTGGATTCCTCTGGGACATTCTCCCTCATCCACTTCCTGTTAGCCTCGTTGGCCGCGATGTCACACTCCTCGAACTCGATCTTATTGGCCGCCAGGAAGCCCATCACATCCTGCTGCTGCTTTTTAATCTGTGTGCGGGTGGATGAGAAAAGATGGTAGAGGGGGAAGTTGTCAGTTAAACATGACTCAGCCGTATGAGGAAACACAAGAGCCTCAGTTCATCATGCTGTCATGAGTCTGTTTTAGAAATAAGGAGACTTTTTCTCTCCTGTGAGAACTACAGAGATCACTGACTCTCTGTTACTAAGTTACCACTCTGCTAGTAAGTGAAGGAAGTGGGAACTTGGGAAAGGCTAAGCAGGCACAGACTATACTTCATCTGTATCAAAAAACACACCATACAGTGAAGAAGCCTGCAGACACCAGTAATTCCCCACATTATCAGAGGAAATGTTTAAAATAAAAGCATCTCAAAATTAGTCAAAGGCTGCACTGTTTTTCTCACTGTCTGGGATTTTATGCAGATGCGATTGATTTCGACAGGAGGATATCCTGCTGCACTGGAAAAAGCACTAAATTAAACATTAACACATTTGTCATTTGTCGCACTTCTAAAATAGTCTATCCGGCTTGTTGCAAAGCAACATTTTTATCTAAGGGGATGCAGCTCTACAACTAACAAGGAACAAGGAAATAAAGGTCTATCAAGGTTGCCACGGTGATATCTTGCAGGGTTTCATCTCTTTACAAAGAAGCCTAAATGCATCCTGCTGACAGATAAAGAAGAAGCTACAGTCTGCATAAAAGTGAGTGTTTAACTTTGTTTTCTTCCTCCTTCTGTGTCTTTCTGTGTGTGTGCGTGTGTGAGAAGTTGTGGTCCAATGAGCTCTCGGTGGGTGTGTTTAAAAGGGAGGATGGCCCTACAAGGCCAGACGGAAACATTAGCTCCTCTGGGACTTGAGAGGAGGTAACTGGTCAAACACGAGCCAAATAAGGCCTGCTGAATGGAGACACACACACACACAGACACACATTCAGTCTTAGCGGCACACACACACCACACCCACACACCAAAAGTAAACCAACTTCACCACGAAAACACATAATAAGGATCGATGTATCATCTTTGTGCCAGACCTGACGCCCCTGTGCGAGGGTTCCTCCCAGCTTTATGGCATGCAGATGAGACAGGTGGATTATTTAATAGCTGTTGAAACTTCACTAAGGCATGGAGGACAGTGCTCTGTGATCAGCCAGGCTGCAATCTGAATCATGGCAGTTTCACTCCAAAGGGCAAAGTCCTAAAACCAGCTCTCACTGTCTATCCACTTGCCCCGAAAAGCAATGCAACATAAAGCAACCGAGCAGAAACCTCAAAGGCTTTTTAATAGACTCCATGTCTCCTAACGTGCATGTTTTGCACAATCACAGGAGATTATTTGAATCTCAAAATGCTACGACGACAAGTTAAGCATAAGGTTTCTCATACTTTGGTGTGTTTTCTGCTTCACTTTGGTGCACTCGGGACATTGCTCCAACAGGGCTACATTGTACTGTTGCCAAGCAAAATTAATTTGTAGGACAAACTGGCCACATGCCATCTGCACCGTAACTCTAATTGAGCAGTGGGAGCTCCCAGCCTTCTGAAATGCTCCCTCATGTCTTGAGTCCCGAATTGAGCGCCTGGTGGAAGAAAACTGGCTGTCCTTGGATTTGGGTGTGGTAATAAACAAACACTTACTTCTTATCCATTTCTTCAGAATGCTTCTATATCATTCCTTCTTCTCAAGAAGAAGATAATCATCTAATCTTCTTCTAAGAAGAACACAAAAAGAAGTGTGAGGCAGGCCAGTATGTGCCTTACAGCAGAGACCTGCAAGTGTGAGGTTTCATTTCCATAAACTATGCTTCTCTTGCATCGAGTCCAAGCATGCAAATTAATACTGGTATTTAGCTGAACATAATGCAAAAACCAAAAAGGGTGCGCTAATGTCAGGGTTGCTTCTTTTGCATGGATGCTGATCAGCATTAGCCGTGTTACTCTATCTAATCCAGGCGTTCGTGGTACTAACCCAATGATTCCTAATCAATCAAGCGGTCCTTTTAACATTTTCTGCAGTTGGATGTTCAGTCATAGAATAACATTCAATAACATTCAGTTATTGAATGTCTTGCACAATTGGTAAGCAGTTTTCCTTTAGGCCAGACTGTTTAAATATCTTCACGAACAAAGTAAGCTTAACTTACTTAAGTAGTCTGGCTTACAATCAAATTAAGACAGCTGAACATCAACATGTTAGCGGTGTCACTGTGAGAAAGATAGCACCCTGATGTCAGTGTTTAGCTCAAGGTGCTGTGCAGCACTCACTTAGCGCCGTGTCTCCTGTGTCGAGTCACTCGCACACAATTACTTACTGCTGACTAACTACACTGATTTCAAATGTATCATCTGGGTTAGGAGAGAAGAGCCTGAAACAAACACTTCAAATCACTGATAACTACCATCATAGCACTTACTTGGCACAGTAATTAAATTTGATCACACCCACGCTGACGGACACACCCATGGAATGACTCAGGCAATTCCACATTAATTTACTATACTAGTATGTCTGAAACCTTGATAAACAACAATATGATATATTGTTGTTTATCAATTATGTTTTATATTGTTGATATATCAAACTATGCTTTTGAAGTCATAGCAGACATTACTGGATAGCTTGCCTGAGCTTCAAAGTCAGGAACACTTGTTTAATATAGTTTTAAATTTCTTAATTATTACTTGGTTAAAATTAAGCGAGACCATTGTTACCCTCCGACTATCTGCTCTTAAAAGTTGCCATGCTAAGCACAAACCAGTATGTCTAAAAAGATACATACAGTCATGTAAAAAAGAAAGTTTTCACAATAGTCTATGCAGTCCTGTGAGCTCAAGGTGAACTCAGTGACCGCAAGGTACCCGGTCCAAATCATCAACCTTCTACCACTGTTGTTGACGGTTGCTACAAGGTGTTTGTGCTGATATGCTGTGTTTGTTTTACGCCAACATCTAAACTTTGATTTCTCTGTCCAAAGGACATTGTTCCAGAAGTCTTGCAGTTTGTTCGGATGCATCTTTGCAAACCTGAGGTATGCTCCCATGTTCTTTTCTGCTGCCAACACCTTCCAAACAGGCTATACTTGTTCAGTCTTTTTCTAATTGTACTCAATGAACTTTAACGTTTAACATGCAATCTGAGGCCTGCAGACTGAGAGCTCTTGGGTTTTTTGCAGTTTCTTTGAGCATCGCAAACTCTGACCTTAGGGTGAATTTACTGCGACGTCCATTCCTGGGAAGATTGTGGCACTCTTCCAGACCACAAAAACTGCCACAACATCTGCTTTCCTATAGGTGCTCACACTTTAATCAAGTGCATTTGGTTATCATCGCCTGGCTGCTACTTGCCATCTTATTTTCTTTGGAACCAGTAAGGGTGTACCGAGTTTTTCCAAGTATTTCATAGTCTTTTGAAACTTTCTTTTGCCTGTACTAAAGTTACAGATTAAAGTACAGATTAAGTTTATTATTAATTAAAAGAACAACTAGTTTTTGGTAGTAAGTTCAGTGGAACTTACTGTATATCGTTACATGAATGATTATTGTTGACTGACTAGAATCTGAGTTGAATACAGTTGAAGGAGGTGGAACCTGCACCACGTGAACTTTGGTTTACATGCCTTATCATCACGTGAGAGAGTTATGGCAGGACAATCCACATCCAGACATGATCAATCCCAGAAAAGGTCAGAACTCCGGCATTAACAGCTGCCAGACAATGACAAGCATTGATTGGATGGACCATATCCACAACACTGGCTTAGATCAATATGGTGGACACTAATTGAATACCCCATCTGATTAAGGGTTGGGTTCAGCTCATGTTAATTTCAATGAGACAGGAAAGAAAACATGTTTAAAACGTCAGTTGCTCTTCACAGATAAGGCAAATAGCCTTTCATATTCCCCGGAAGCCCAACATTTGAATATGGGAAAGAAACCACTCTTTGCGCCAAGAGGAAACATGAATCAACCCCTGCCCTGTATGCTCATAAGGGATAAACGTTTGTCTTGATTAGATCACGTCTGATTTCAGCTGAAAACAGTTGCTTACTGGAAAAATACCAAAAGCAGTAGCCTCCACCCAGTCCTGTACTCAGTCAGCATTACAATATAGTTACAAAAGAGCCTTACACTGTTGCTCTGGCTGAATTCCCACACTGCTGCCTGGAGGTGAAACAACAACAAAATTAGCTGATATAGAAACGAACTGTAGCACCAGCCCAAATCACGTCTGACCTATAAACCTTAACATCAAATCCACAATAGGGAAAAGCATGATAAGGCTGACATTCTGAGGGCCAAAGTCCTGGGCATAGAGAGTTACACTGCATGTCCACAGCACCTCAGGTTATTACAGATTCACAGAGCATTTATTGTTACAATAAGGAAATTATAAAACAGTGTGGCTGCAGTTCAGGCATGGAAATAAGGGAGGAAATGTGCCATGGTGCTTGGCCAGTGCCTTTGGCTCGTTAGACATTTGCAGTTTAAGTCGACCTTGTGGTCTATGGTCGAGATATACTGTTGTAGGTGCATATGTGCATTGGCATATGTGTATTTAAGGAAAAAAAGATTCTAGTTTGTTAGGCAAACTTGGCCTCGCTCAAAACCAGGCGCAGTTGAGATACCCGGTGGCATTCTGTAAAAGATATTTTACATACAAATACAACATCAGAAATTTGGGTTATGTTTTAAAGAGCCATTAGCGACAGGATTGAAAACATGCCTAGAGAACTCACACGAAGGCACAATATTATATATCTAAGTGATTGAAATGCTCTGCTTCACATTACTGGGTGGAAATACAATAATGTCAGCTCACATTGTGATACCCTCCTTCATACTGTATAACTAGCTCAGACCAAAGTCAAGCAGCAACCTCCAGGGATAAAAACTGAAACCGATGTGGGAAAGTGCCAAAAACACCAGTTCATCAAACGGCCACTTGGCAATATATTCAATATATTGCATCACAGCTTCTTGCACTGGCACAAAATATGGCTTTTTTATAAAAGCGTGCAGGCACTGTTAACATATTCCACTGTTATGTTACTAACTAGTTGCTCCTGGAGGTAGTGCTGATAATACTGAGTCCTCGTAGTATTGTACCTTGAGTTAGTCTATGATTGTAGCCACTAAACATGGGTGTCTCTCCCTGTGAGACATATCCATACTGTCTATAGCTGTGCCTTTCTCTTTTAGCACTCAAATCCAAACATGGCCACTTGTGGCTTCAAAAAACCAAGATGCTTTTTGGCTATAATGCCATCTTAAAGCTTCGAAATGGGACTTCACGAACTCAACATCACAATGCAAATGTCTCCTGGGGAAAGGTTTTATGTTCAGATGGGATAAATATTGAGCTGTTTGGCCACAATGACAAGAGGTGTGTTGGAGGAGTAAAGGTGTACCAACTGTCAAGCATGGTGGTGGTAGCATTATGCTCGACAGTTGGTACACTATTGTCAGGTTTGAAAGCCTAGCATTATGCTCTTGTTAATGAAGAAGGAGGACTACCTCCAAATTCTTTAACTTCATTTTAAATCAACTGATAAAGTGTTGAAAGTTACTCAGAGAGTTGTGTTCCAACAGGACAATGATCCAAACACATATCAAAGCTGGTTTTAGGAATGGATAACACATGCTAGCAATTAGCTTCTGTAATGGCCTTCCCAAAGCCCCAACCTCAACCCTATTTAATATTTTGGGACTATGATTAAAAGCCAGGCCTGTGCAAACAAACGAACCAGATTAAATGAACTCTACCAATTCTGCCAAGAAGAATGGTCAGATATCGATCCAGAATTATGCCAGACGCTTGTTGATACCAAAAGTGCCTGATCAAGGTGAGTGTATATGTATATACTTGCGCCTGTATGTAAACTTGGCAACTTGTGTATATCAGAGAAAACCTGAAATGATTTCAAACTTTTGTACCAAGTTTATGTTTTTGGATATAGAAAATCTGAAAAAATAACATGTCATACATGACCATGATGGATGTATCTAAACTTCTAATTACAACTGTATACATTTACCATCTCCTACCAGAATGATCACATTGTGTATTTATTTCTTATATGTATTTCTTTAGTGTAAAGTGATCTATTTTTTTAGATCTATTTCTTTTCTGATAGTTTTATTTTTATAGAGCTATGTTTTTTTAATGTTTTGAGGACATGGTAATTTCCCAATTTTGGGGATAAAGTATTTCCTCATCATATTCTTCTGGAATTTTATTGTTGTTCCCTTTTTTCCATTTTTTTTTCCAAGTGGCAGCAACATATGCAACTGGAGTTTGTGGCATTTTGCTAAATCATATTTTGAGGAACAGTACTGTTGACATAACTCACCTCAGTTCTTTTTTTCATTACCATACTGTAGCCTTTTCTAACTGAAATCTGTCTATTGACACATACTGTGAATCTGATGTTGTGCTCTTCTATGACAAACTGGTACTCAAGCTCAATCAAATTAACAGTACTTTGTTTTTGACCTTTGGCTCTGGTATGGATCAGCTTTCACATGAAATCAATCAGCCCCAAAAGCTAACACAATGCTCGAACACAAAGCAGAACTTAATGTCTTGGAAAACAAAACTATCTATCTGGATGATGCTGACTGTTGTAGTTTGTCAAGTGCTGAACCTCATATAGCCCTCTGGCTAACTTCTCACAGTCCGCTGCTCTGACCTGCATTCAGTTTCCTCTATGGAACAAAAAACACTTGAAATATTATTTTTTAAATACTCCTACTTATCTCCCTGTTTTTGGATGTTCCTCTCTGCACATTCTTATTTATACTCGAGTGCTTAATGTAGTATCAGATGGGGCTGGGTAGAGGAATGTGATGACACTGTTTTGTAGACACGGACGCAATCAAAAAAGCAAGCTTAGTTGCGACAGAGGCTTTTCGCCACAATTTCCCGCTCAGCAGCCTGCTCATGCTAATGTGCGAAGAGAGATTTTAAATACTGTGTAATTCAGACATTCAGTAAGTGCTTTAATAATCTACAATAGTGCATCTGCTAAAATAAAAATCAAAGGGAATGAGTTAAACATGGTAAGAACAAACAAAATGAACTCTAACGCTGCTGCTCTGCTGACTATGAAAACAGTGCAGCTTGGAGATGATAACATCACGGGTCTTTGCAGAACAGCAGTGCAAAAGCTCGTATGCCTCTTCTAGAGGAATTAACCAAAAACAAATCAATGAGAGGTAATGCACTTTCCCAGACAGACTCCAGGACGCTGATGGCATCGCTGGCTCTAAACTCACCCCACTCTGACTCTACAGGAAGCTCCTGTGCTCTAAAGCCTGCTGCTGAGCCTGTGCAAATGTCATTTACTGTCAGGGCAATAAAGTAACTCAGAGCTGTCCAACTGAAAGGAGGCTCTGTGTTTGATTATTTCCTGTATGTGAGCTGTGAAAACAAACGGCTGGCGGAAGGAAAATCGCCCTACAGGTGATCTAAAGCACAAGGGTACGACAAGTGACTATAAAGTTGGACACTTTTATTAAAGGAATCTTTAAATGTTCTTTTTTTGGGAGCATTTCTCCTGATAAAATTTGCACGTTTACAGTTTTGAGACTTTGCAGACACCAGGTGCGATGCTAAATGCAATGTTTTCATCGCATCTTATGTTGACTAGTTGTAGGATACAGTGCGCAAGAACTCAGTGTTTAATGAGCTTCTGCGTGCTCGTGTTTATGTTGATCCAGAACTTCTGCAAGTCTTAAACCCTGCTTCAGGGCTGCAGCTGCTTGTCTAAAAGGGGGGCCCTGGAGAATTGCATCACCATCATTCCTCTGCACTCTGAAAGAAACTGGCAAGTCTGGAGCTAAAAGAATGTCCTCTCTACTGAAGGAAAACAAGAGTCCTGCTCTGGCATCAGGTGACACATCACATCGTTTTAAGTTCATCTATTGATTTTTGTATTTTCTGCATGCCTTTCCTGTTCACAGTCTAGTTTCAGCTGAAAAACCCAATAAACTGCCACTCCAGGAAGCACTGTGACAAACCGCAGCTGAGAGAGACAGAGACGCCCGCTCGCTCCTCAAACTTCCTCCCTGCCTCTTTCTCTGTGCACGAAGTTAAAAGAAAATCAAGGAGAGACTCGAGCTGCGTTCAAAGTGTGGTGGACGGCAGAGCTGCATGCTTACTGATGAGTCAGGCCACCCCGCGCACTGAGCGGATGACAGCCCGGTGGACATCAGTTAAGTAGAATAAAAAAGTTCGGCCTGGCTGCTGCATATACACCCGCCTATCACCTCGTACGCACACAAGCCACACGCAATCATCCCGAATCTTACCGAAGTGGATCCAGAGGACGATGCTATGTACACTTTGATCACCATCTTATCTCCCTGATGCTGTTGTCACAAAAGTCCGGCGGGCTGAGCTGGTCGGCTGCTTGCTCTGCTGCTCGCAGACACTGTGCAGGTGGGCGGCTGAGCAGCGAGACACAAAGGAGAAAAAACTACAGCAACAAACTTCCGAGGCTGAAATAACGTACCAGTCTCTGGTAGACAGCGCAGACGATCTGCGCAAATGCTCCGGTCCTCAGCACTGGATGGAGCTTTGCATTCCTCCCCCGCCTCCACTCTGCCTCCCCGCCCCTTCTAGCCTCTCTCTCTCTCCGTTTGTGTGTGTGTGTGTGGAGCTGAAAAGCACACACTCTCAGACTGGTACACGCACAGAGAGGTGGCCTGTCAAGATGGCAACGGGGTTATACTGCCTGAATATTTCAGCATCGACCTCCCCCTCCACAGCATCACCACCACCCCTCCTCACCCCTTTGTCTGTAAGCCAGACACCGGCTATTGTTCGGCGCACAATGCACGTGTGCACGGTTACAGGTGTCCCGGCACTACGTGTGAACGAGGAGGCAGGTTAATGTGATAGAAAATAAAATTCTGATTTGATTTGATTTTTTTTTAGCGTGTGTGTGTGTGTGTGTGACAGCACAGCCTGTGGAAGCGCCGTCTTCAGAGCAGGCGCTTTATTATTAGCCGGGCTTCGTGGGCCCCCTGCAGGCGTCTGGAGAAGTCGACGCGAGGCCTTTTTTTCCCTGAAACGAATTTAAGGAAAGCCGACTGACAAAAAAAGTGTCGGAGAGGAGGAGGGGGAGGAGTGGGCGCCATATTGGACTGAAACTCGAAGTGAATCTATGGTTAAATCTCCCCCGCTGACTTCTGCAGAGGCGAGCCTGTGCTTTAATAAGAGCCAGCGAGGATGCCTGGCTCGCACTGGGGGCATGTTGCCTGCCGCCGGGGCCTGTATGAACCATGCATGCGGCTCCCTCTCGCTCTCTCACACACACACTAACACGGCTCACTCGTGTGAAGGCAAACATGTCCTCGAACGCGAGCCTTTTCCCCCTTCTTTGCAGGCTTCCTCCCATCTCCCTCTGCAAGAACAAGCCATTCGCGGCAGACCCCTCAACATCACCGGCTCCAAAATTCCAAGTGTTCTGCAGCCCCGAATGGCGTCACCCGATTGGCCGAGGGCCTATCAATCATGCCTTTAGCCGCACCCCTCCCCCCATTCAACCACTCGCCTCTCTGTTCCAGTGTGTTTACTACACTGCCGAGCATAAGGGAGACACTCGTCTTCACATGCACTGATCCCACAGAGAAAAAAAACAGTTTTTAGTTGTATTTGTAAGGAAACCCTCCAAGAGATCAACATGCCCAAGAGAAAGGTACGTATTACGAAAATAGCAAAAATACTTTGAGGCGGATAGCAGCCATTAATGCAATGAAAACGATTGTGAAGACATCCCTCTGAGACATTACTTAATTATAACGCAACGGATAGCGGTTATTTTTCGCTGGTAATTTTTTGCCTGTTTTCTAGATATAATCTGCATTTTTTTTGTGTTAGAGCGAATATTTTCCTGCTCGGACACGGCCTTTAAAACGCCTTTTTCGTGTGCGAGCCGCTGTCCTTTGGGGAGTCAGAAGTCTCTCTCTCGGTCTCCATGCAGTTAAAGCACAAGCAGCAGCCATGCTTTGCAGCTCTTGTCCACCTTCGTCGCCCGACCTACCGAGAACAAACGCTTCGCTTATCGCCGTTCGGGCTCCAAACCGGCCCGAAGTGGCGCCAGAAAATGCCTTAGTGGCTTTACTTTGCATTTTGACCGCGAAAACAAACATTCGCCGTCGCGTTTCGATAAAATTATATATTTTCTCTCTTTGTTCGCGGTCCCAAATGGCTGCGATGGCGTTTCCCTGCCGCCCGGTGGCGCCCGTGAGCCCGCTAAACCTGGTCCCTCCCCCTTCTCAGAGACTCCCGCGCCAGCTTTCAAATCTCAGCTCCATGCATTGAATGAGAGAAAGAGATGGGGGGCGTGGAAGGGGAAAGCAAGGCCTGGACCCTCGAAATATGGCCTCAGAGACCCGCATGGCTCTGCTCTCACAGCCTCCGTCGGAATCCAGGCGTGGAGCCGGCATTTCTGGCCTGTAAATCGCTTAAACCCACCTGTATTTGAAATGAACTTTGCTTTTCACCTGAAACTGAAAAGTTTTTTCAGCACCTCTATGACCAATCCTAATATGTGTCCAGGTTGCACAGCATCTGTTCGCTGTTGATATAAACAGCAGCTAAGCTCTTATTTTTTCCAGTCAATCATTTAAAGATGTTGTGTTGTGTTTTTCAGGCACACGGAGCAGAGGCAGGAGAAAAGGAGGAGGTAAGCAAGGAAACGACAAGCTGCACCTCTCGCACGCCATTTAAATTCAGATTTTAATCGGCACGTGAGAGATTAAAAGGGAAAATAAAACTTTTAGATTAAATACCTGTGTGTCTGTGCTTCCTGCTTGTCAAAATAAAAGCCTCGCATTAACAACAACCTCTTGTCATGTTTCAGCCCCAGAGGAGATCAGCTCGGTTATCGGCGGTAAGATGGCACACACTTTTACACGCTCACCGACATCACCTGCTGAGAATCGACACATAAAAAAGCCAAACAAAGCAGAGCGGCTAAAAGTGTAGCATATGCAGATATTTAAATCGAGTGTGCATAGGGGCGCATAGGAGCAAGAACTGCGTTTTCCAGCAAAGCAAAACTTTTCAACAAGTTGTTTTTTGCATAACATAACATAGCAGTGACTTGAAAACAGTTATATAGTGCATTAGAGTGCATTAAAATTACTACAAATGTCTCAGATATACTTTAATTTGTCTAAATTCACAATTAAAGCAAGATTAATGAACATCACAGTGAGTTAAAACAGCCAAAATCAACCTCAAAGATGTGTTCACATGTATCTACATGTAATACTAATTAAAAGCCAATAGCTGGCATAATCGAGCCCCAGTATTGACTGTGTTTTGTTTTTGCTTTTTTTAATTATTGACACACTGTGTCTTTATTCAAAGAAGTTTCTTTTCAGGAACATTTTAGGGGTTTAAAGATGTCTTTCATGCACCAAAGTCCTCATGAACATTCAGAAGTACTGGGGAAAAAACAGGCTCTAAACTATCATAGATACTCCTGTAGTGCTGCTGTATTCCAGCGTAGCAGTTTCCACATCGCTTTCCTCTTCTTTCCCCAGAAACCGGCCCCGCCCAAGCCGGAACCAAAGGTGAAGAAGGCGGCGAAGGTGAGAGGCTAAATGAAGTTGTATTTGAGGGTGGAGGGAGGGCGTTTGTAGATGCTCAGCATGCTCACTGCTTGTGTCTAAACCTGAACAGAAAGAAAAGGCTGTGAACGACAAGAAGGAGGACAAGAAGACCAAGAAGGCGAAGGAGAACGCCGAGGCAGAGGCGAACGAGGAAAACCACTCTGAGAACGGCGAGGCCAAGACCAACGAGGTGTGTGAGCAGTGGGACGCCCCTCCCCTTAGCCTTTTTGGACAACCCTGGTAATTTCACGATTTCACCAAAAACTAACAAAGTTTTAACTTCAGCCTTTCTGCTTCATCCCTTAGGTGGAGGCAGCTCCCGAGGAGGCCAAGGAGGAGGCCAAGTCCGAGTAGCACCACTGCCCAAACTCTCTCCTCCTCCGTCTTCTACAGCCCCCCACCCCACCCAAAAAACTACCCCAACCAGTCCCACCCCACGCCCCCTCTAAGTCTCTCTCACATGGTTTCCCTCCAAGGCGTATTGTTAACAGAGGAATATTTTTATCAATGATTTTATAAGTATCCGTACAGATTTTTAGCACAAAAAAGCAAAGCTGATTATGGAGCGCCTTGCAGATTTGCAGTGGTCATATCAAAGTGTCTGCAAGCGAAATGAACACACTAAAATCTTTTTTAAATGGCATTTCATGATTGTTGAAGGCTTGTTTTTGGTGTAGAAAGCGTGTCCCTGCCGGATTGGCTATGTTGTGAGTTGTGTATTACTGTGGGTTTTTTTGTTTGTTTGTTTCACTTCTAACTCCACAAAAATCAGTCCTTTTCTTCCTCACCTCCTCCCCTTTCTCCCCCCTTTTATCCACGTTTTTACTACAACGGTTCAGACATGTCGGTGTGGGCGATTCCTTTTAGACCTCTATAAAAGTGCAGTGAGTCCCCTCCTCTCTTTTTTTTTCCATTTTTGTTTCTCTGCTTCTGTCTCATGGTGTTTTTTTTTTTTTTTCTTTCATTGAAATTGTGTTTTGACGAAGAAGAAGAAAAAAAAGATACAAAACGAAAAACTACTAGCGTGTTGTCCATAAGAAAGAGGAAGACGAACATGTGAAACATTCCGGAGAACGGCGACTGCCTCCGATCCGTCTCCTTAGACGACCCTGCGTGTATAAAAGAAAAGAGGAAAAAAATTCTAAAAAAAAGAACAAAACAAAACAGCTCCCGCTCCATCCACGCTGTCACGCCAGCTTTTCTAAACACTGTTTTTTGTTTTAGTTTTTTTTTGGTTTGGTTTGTTTTTTTGGTTTTTTAACAGCGATTGAATTTGGAATCCTTCTGTGACAAAAAAAAGGAAAAAAAAAAGAAAAAAAATATATGCAGGTGTCCGGTCCCTCTCTTATGTTCTGAAATTCTCTTAATAAAAAGAAGTCCTGGGAATTTTCCTCGAATCGGAGTGTCCAGTTTGCTTTCTTTGAAGACCGAGTGGGATAAATAATGGGAAAAATGGGTTGGGGAGGGGTTGTGAGTCAAAACTCGAGCTCCAAGTGCTCGTTTTGTAGGTAAAAGCAACCATGTGTTTGAATTGAAATATAAAGCCTGCTTGTGTCTTTAAAGCATGCGATTTCCACTACTAACTGTGCTTAAGAGCCTCCCGAGATCTATCTGTACGCATAATCAAAAATGACTGCATTCATTTTTCTTTTTTAAACAAGAACATCCTTGCCACTTAGAAAAATCCAGTATTTCCTTCAAGAGAAGCTGCTGCAGGTTATAGATTCCACATTTCATCCGTCCTCCTTTCTCTGATTACACACTCAAGTCCACTTCATCCTCCAAACTTACTCGAGGCATGTTTGTTACAGCCCAGATTGCAAATATCTGTTGCAAAAGACTCTTTAAGGGAGGTCAGGTCAGCGAAAGGTCAGCCAGACCTTCATTGTTCATCCCACTGATCGATCCTTCTAAAATGCACCAGTGAGAGGACATCATACCCAGTAACTGAGCAAAGTCTTTAATAAAGTCATGCTTCTACATCC